TAAATCGCATTTGTACGGTTTTTCACCGGTGTGTATGTGCATGTGCGTATTCAAGTTACTAGATGACGTAAATCCTTTCTTGCATGCATCACATATGTACGGTTTTTCGCCGATGTGTGTACGCTTGTGTTTGTTCAAATCACTAGAAGACATAAATCCTTTCTTGCACACATCACATTTGTACGGTTTTTCACCCGTATGTGTGCGCTTATGTTTATTCAAATCACTAGAAGACGCAGATAATTTATTGCACACATCGCATTTGTACAGTTTTTTAGCAGTATGTATGCGCTTATGCGTATTTAAATTACCAGCACATGTGAATGCTTTACTGCACAAATCGCAAATGTATATCTTCTCACCAATACGTGCACGTATGTGTTGGCTTGAAGTACGGTTAGCAGTGAGATTCTTCATTGGAGTTTTGCATTTAAACTGCTTTTTCCTAGGATGCGCCCTTACTTTGTACTTAGAATTCAACTTACTTGGTTTCTTTTGGAGCTTATCGCAATGGGATTTTGTAAGAACACTGTTCATCTTTATATTGTCTACACTTGTTGTGTTTTTAGCTTTTAGCAGTTTCATTCCAGCGGTATGTGATGATTCATTGGAATGAATAGGTTGTATGTCTTTTTGGTTTGTGATTGCTATCGAGAAGTTCAATGCTTCTTTTTGATTCGCCTCATTCTTCTGTAACAAAAAATTAAAGTGAGTACATTTCAAGATGAAGCAGTTGATTATAATGTTGCAATTTGTTGACTTACGGTGGATTCTGCGAGTTGCAGTTCAACTGATATGCAGGAAACAAAAGCAATTATGATGGTTCCAGGACACATGTTTCGATCTGAAATCAATATGTCACATAGTTTGGAAACAATATTTTGATTACATCAACTATTTCTCAAATTTATCCGAAACGGTGTTCTAGCAAAACAAATCGTGATTTGTCATGCTTAAAAACTTTATCTGCCCTTAAATTTCATTCGATGTGTAAAAACTTGTTAGATATTTATTTGTGGATACCAATGAGCCTACAATGTTAAAAGTTTTGTAACTTAATCTTAAATTGTTATTAGGGCTGATATTGGAATTGTGGCAATTCTTGATGCCTTTATTGCAAGATTTAAGATCACATAAGGACGCTGCACTCAATAATAACTGACTTTCAAAAAAGATTGGGATCGTTGTGAAGTTTTCACGATTATTACATTTGTTGGCAGATGGCTTTAATGTGAGGAATGTAAGATCCATTTTATTTGAGGAATGGATCTCACAATTAAATGACGTTGCAGTCCGAGAAAAGTTCTAAACGCTCTATTATTGCTTACTGAAAGTAAAAGTGAACAAAATTAATGCTTAACATGACATAAAATTTCTTTGCTTTTTTTTTGACATTTTATACCAAATTTATGAAGATTGAGTTTTGATCGAAAAATTCGCAAAAGGCCAAAGGTTGAAAGTTGATTATGCAAATGTTGTGGAGAGTATCGCAATAAAGTTTATAATTTTCAAGCGGAAATATGAAGTAAATCAAACATGTATTCATTTCACGTGTTGTCAGATCAAACACTGACTAAACATTTTCCATCCTTTTCAAACACATTTGATTTTATTGCAAAAAGTTTGCCAGTGACAATTCACCAAATATTTGCTTTCGACACACCCAACCAATAACTGATAAGCATCAAATTATTCCAATGAGAAGATTCAGAATTAGACAATCTCTTTAAGCAAAAGTATCCATGTTGTTCCATTCTTGGAGTTTGATAAAACCAACTTCAGCAATGGTAGACGCTCAAAAAATAGTTGTATGCAGCAAGCTTACAGGTATGTGCTGACATGTATTGTGTGACGACTGTGAGGACACTGAAACTTTTATCCATTTTCGTTTCTAAAAGAACAGTTTGCTTTGTTGAATTCAATTTATTTTTTTATTCAAACGAGCTATCATATTGGCAACGACATGTAAGCCATGAAACACTTAGTTTCTGTTAAACAAAGCAGGCAATATCTGTCTTGGAACTAATTGCATAAACGACCACAAATTATGAATTTTTAACTTATCAAAGCAATGTGTTCTTAACAGCAATAAATAAACTATGAAACATTTCCATTGGGTCAAGTCTCGTGATAATATATATCAGTATATCTCACCATTGTATTCCTCTCCTATTGTATTTTCCAACACTTTTATTTGATA